ATGGCAGTGGCAACGCAGCGGGGAGTGGGGTCAGGGTGCTGCGGGACGGTGAGGCCACCGATGCTGGCCTCAGCCCACCCCTCTCTCCTTCCATCATTGCTGTCTGCAGGGCTGACCTGGCAGTAGTGGGGGGAGGAGCAGGCCTTACATGGCGGGGGGAAGGAGTGGGTGTGCCACAGTGGTGACAGTGTCGCTGTCAGGGGGGAAGGGGAGGAGTGGGCCCAGGCCCGATGCAGGGGAGGGAGCAGGCCCGATGCAGGGGAGGGAGCAGGCCCGCTGCGGTGGTGTGGGGGGAGCAGTGGGCCTGGCCCAATGTGGCTCGCCACAGCAGTGGCTGGGGGAGGGGAGGAGCAGGCCTCCTCCCCCCCTCGGGTCCAGGCCCATTCCTCTCCCCTTCCCTTCCCTTCCCTTCCTCCGCATCAGCCCCAAACCCGCTCTTCCCATCTCCCTGCTGCCTCTGGGTCAGCCCAGGCCTGCTGCTCCCCTGCCCTGCTGTGGTGGCCCGGCTTCTTCCCACCCTCATGTCTGGTCCTCCCCTGCATCAGGCTTGGGCCTGCTCCTCCCCTCCCCCAGGCACTGCAGTGGAAAGGGGAGGCATGGGCTCAGACCCCAAGCAGCAGGAGGGAAGGGGGCAGTGGGCCCGGATGGGGGGTGGGGCACAGGGCTCCATCCCCACCCGCTCCCCACCCTGTCATTCTTGATGGGCATTGTCTAGTATTGTAATACTGACACATTGTTATGTGGCTACTCTTTATTCTGTTTGTTTGCCACTTTAGATTTTACTTTTCTTTTGGATTTAAACAGTAATAATGATATTTGCTATAACTTGGAGGATGAAAATGCATCTTGGCATGAACGTGCTGTGCCTGAAATAATAACCCAAAAAGGTTTAAACATGTCACTAATTTGGATAATGGTTTACCTGCCATTTGTTGTCAGATGACACTGCCTTTTGTCCTTAAAAACCTCAGCTGCTCCCTGTTCTCAATCAATGTATTGGATTATCTAACTTTGGATATTACATATTTTCCTGAAAATACACATTAGTCATACTTTTGAGAAGTCTTACTCCTAATCATACTGTACTTATATTTTTACAATTTAGTTAATGTACTTACTGTACTACTTACTGTAGATGAAATTAATCAAGAGTATTTTTTGAAACATGGGATAAAATACATACATACCATATAATACACTGCCTGTCATACAGACATTGAATATAAAAGGATACCAAGGAGGGTGATGCTCATTATTGTGATCCAATCATAATAATGCATCTGATGACAATTTTGTCTGAAAAAGAACTAACGACTGTTGAATTTGCCCTGTCTTGTTTATTGCAGTAGTTACTGTAGTTACATGGTATTATTTTGTGAATGTAGGCATAAATAACCATGCACAAGCTAGAAAACTTAAAATATGACATATTTTGATAATTACCTTGATAATTACTGTATTAGCTACATCTAATAAGTAAACTGTGTAAAGGGTCTGACAGAGCATCAGACTCATGGCCAATTACATATATCTTAACAGATGTTTGATGTATTGTGAGGAATAAACTAAGGTATTTCAATTGTTTACCTTCATAATGTGATTTCTATAACTACAAAAACATGTTGTGTCCAAATAATTTCAAAGATTAAATATTTTGGATAGTTGAATATATTTGAGTATGATAACGTGCACCAGTCAGGGGGATGGTTGGCTACATGCCATGAGACATAATCATTTATGAAAATCTCAAAGAGCCAAAATGCTTTTCTGGACAGATCAGCACCTTTATAGCAATGGTCATTTTAGCACTGATCATTTTAAAAGGCTTGGGTTGTACATTGTATTCTCCTGTTGTCATCAGTTCTTTTGGTATTTATCTAAACAGGTGTGATGCTGGTTTGGCCCGACTTTCTGCAGAGCATAAGATTACATATGAAAGACTTCAGAGCTTGAGCAAAGACCAACAAGCTTCTAAAATGATCTTAGAATCAAAAATCAAAGAGGCAGAAATACAGGTATGTTATATGTTTTAAATCAACTGATCTTCATGAGTGAGAGAGTTCAACACCATTAACGAGGATACCATATTGTAAATGGATTTCCATTACAAATGGAGTTTCAAGCAGCCAAAAGAGGCATTGCCAATGTCTTGAGGACGGTATGCTCAAATTAAGTTCATATTCTTGGGACTGAAAAAGGCCACACACTGACCTGCATTTTTCCAAACTTAATGTAAACACTGGTCATTCTTGCACCATGTTTTTGTTGCTGTGGTATTAACAGCTTCAAAACTGACTAGCTCTGTCATTTTTCAGAGCTGCTAATAGCCAGTTTTGGGGCTGGTATTAGAAGCCTGGAAAATGAAAGGTGATAGTTTTATGATTGCTTTTAGGAGCCTTGAAAATGCGGAGAGTGAGTGCCCTAGCTTTAGTAACGTTCCAGGCTTCTACTATTAGTCCCGAATGTAAATAGTTGGTAAGAAATTGGGACTATGTTCCTACTGAACAAAATATCCTTAATCCTGAGGGAACAAAATCGACTGATTTTCTGTCCCTAAAATACTGCTTACCTCAGATTTGAGTCATTCAACGCCTTACATAAGAAATCCTAGAAATGGCAGCAGGGCTCCAATTGGGGCATCAGGGACATGCAGAGGCAAGTTTGTCTAGGCCAGGGATGTAAAACTTATCTGGTCCCATGGGCCAGGTAAATATTGTGGGCCTGTTCACAGACTGGGCTCACATTTTGGTCCTGCCCCAACCACCACAGGGTTGTACCCCCATGGCCCCAGAGCCCCTGCCATGGAGCTGTGCTGCACGGCCCTGAATCTCCTGTCACATGCAGCACATCTCCAGAGCTTCACACAGCTACTCTGGGGCTGTGCTGCTCTCAGCAACAGCTCCACTGCTCTGGGCTTTGTGTGGAGCCATCCAGCACACTGCACATGCTGCACTCCACATCACTTTGGGACCCACAGGCAGCACTGGGCCCTATGTCTTTGACACCTCTGCTTTAAGTGATGCTCTCCCTGCATTTTGCACCAGCCATTTGGCTTTTGCCAGTGGCTTATCCTGGCATACCAGTTCCCTTCCATGGGGGAGGATGGAGGCGGGGAAGCCTTGAGTCCACATGTTGTAGTCTGTGCCCCCTTGACAGCAGGCCTGCAGGTGGGAGCAATAGTTTGTTTCTATGCTCAGCATAGCCAGATAGGGGCTACTCAGAATCTAGACTTATACCATATTTACCTGAATCCATGAGGATGCTGAATTTAAGATGACCCTCCAATAATTAGATTCTATACATGGGCAATTTATAAATTTGTTATTGGAGGGTCTTCTTAAATGCATACCCCTCCCCCTGCCCACTGCTGCAGTGGGGCAAACAGTGGCAGGGAGCAAAGGGCAGGGATCAGGCCACTGGACTCTCCTACAACATGACTTGCCCCCTGCCCAATTGCCTGCGCGTTCTAGCACGTGCCCCCCTGGGGTGCACAGGCACCACCCCTTGCATGCCTGCACCACTTGGGCTTCCCACTATGCCTGTGCCCACCTGTGCTGTACACTGTACCCTCCACTACTTGCCCCCCCTACTTGCTCTTCCTCCCACCTGTCCCACTCCCCCCCTTGCAGTGCCTGCTCTCCTCACCTGGTACATGTGCTCCCCACAGCCTCTGACCCCTGCCACCACCTCACCCTCCCCTACCTTCCCACCCCACCCCACAACTCTTTACTGTCTGGCTTCAGCTCCTCCCCAACTCTGGCTCTGCTCCAGCATCATCATGCAGTAGCAGTTTTGGCAGTGGTAACTCTGGCCCCAGTCCTGGCCCTGGCTGCATGGCTGGGTTGGGGCTGGAGCAACTACATGTTCAATGCTCTGGTATGGAGCAGGGCCAGAGCTGGGCTGAAGCTGAAGGGCAAGAGGCAGTAAGGGTTGGGGCCTATGGTAGGGCAAAGGCAGTAGTGGGAGTAGAGAGAGGGTCAGAGGTGGTGGGTTAGGGCAGGCAGGGGCTGTGGATCCAACTCTGACCCTGACCCCCACCTGGAGTCAGTGCTGGAGTTGGAGCCTCAGCAACTGTCTGCTCCCTCATTTGTATTCAAATCCAGGGTGAAGAGTGTTTTTTCTCATGTTAAATGGGGGGGGGGCAGTAAAGAACCTCATCCTGGATTTGAGTAAATCTGGTATGTGGTACGTGGGAAGTTAACATTTCTGTAAAACACATTAAATAATCCCATTGAATTAGCCATTAGCACTGTAGGTGTATTAGTCATAAAGGAAAATTGATCCCAAGACATTTCCAACAGCTGTATTTAAACCCAGATCAGAAAAATGCTCAACAAAGAAATTTTCCATGATTCAAGTAGGTTACATTTACAATTTGAAAACATGGAAAATCTATGTTCTATAACCTATTACAGTGTCACTCTTCAAACTGCTGTAGTTGAATGCAAGCATTCCTATTGCATGCCATAAAAATTCGCACTGATCTAAAGCTTGGCACCCAAGGGCTGTCTAAAAGCCCATTAATATTTTACTGGCAGCTTTTAAAACAATCTGTTCTGTATTTTTTGAATATCACAAATAAAGATATTGATTCCTTTAAGGTGCATTTTCTGCACTTAATTAAAATGTGGTAGTAATTTATAAAATCAGGTATGTCACAGGTTAAGCAACTGAGAGAATCTAATCATTTACTATTTTGGGAGGGAGGAAGAAACATGGCAGTGAGGTATACATTTTTAAGCAGTAAATTGGAAAGATTGTTATGATACTGACTACTAGAACAGAGCTTCTTCGAGGAGCCACATTTTATTCTCAGTATTTATGTGTAAGTATGATGGATGTCAATTAAATAAGACTGTAACATGGCTTAATATGATTGAATGCAAATTGATAGGAATTAAGTACATTCATCTGGGGATGGATCCTGGTCTCTCCCCAGGCTTTATACATGGCTTTGAAGTACCCAAGGGAACCAATACAGTGGTGGGAGGGACAAGGGCTTGTTCAGGAGCTCCTCACTCTATGTGAAAGGGACTCTGGGAAGGCTACATAGAGCTTTTGGGAATGAAGTGTGGTTTCATCTCTGAATGCCCAAATCCACTAGTTAGAGTCCTCCTCTGTCTTTCTCCAGTACTTGCATGAGAAATAAATACATTACTGGAAAAGGATTCTGGCTTCCCTTATCATAGAATCATAGGAAAAAAGGTATGGAAGGGACTTCATAAGGTTTTTACTTCATCTCCCTATTCAGGGCTGGATCATCTCTGCATAAAGCATGCCAGACAAACTTTTGTTTAAGTTGCATGCCAAAATGTCCATTGATAGAGATTCCACAGCCTTTATAGGAATATGTTTTAATACTTAACCACTCCTTGAGTTAAAATTTCTTCCTAATATCTGACGTAAATCTCCCTTATTGCAATTTAAACCTCTTACATTTTGTCCTGTTCCCATTGAGCACAGACAACAATTGTTCTGATAACCAACCATTTTGTATTTGAAGACTGTTACCAAAGCCCCCTGTAATCTCTTTTCTAGACTAAATAACCCCAGTTCTTTTGACCTTCCCTCAGATATTATGTTCTCAATATTTCTGATTTCTTTTTGTTGGTCTCCTCTTGGTCTCCTGCCAATTTGTTCACATTTTTTCTTGAAGTGTGGTGCCAAAAACTGGACATAATGCTTCAAGATGAGGTCTTCCCAGTGCTGAATGAAGATATTGAACAGTAGAAGATGTAGGACAGATCCCTGGGGAACCCCACTTGATATCTCTTTCCATGTTGACATTGAGCTGTTGATGACTTCTCTTTGGATATGATTTCCCAATTAGTTATGCACATAACTTACAGCTATTTTATCAAGCCCATATTTTCTTAAGGTCTAAGAGTGTCAGAATGTGTCAAAAGTCTTACACAGGCTCAGGTATATCACATCCACTCCTCCCCCTCCAAGTCACAGGTTGCTTAGGTGTTTAGAAATAGATTCCTTCGTGATGTGCACCAATATCTTTCAAGTTATCAGAATTAGACTGCCTATTCTCTAATTCCCTGCATCCTCCTTATTTCCTTTTTGAAAAGATAGGCACAATATTTGCAGTCTTCCAGAAGCTTCTTCCATGAGTTTTCAAAGATAATAACCAATGCCTCTGCACTTACCTCAGACAATTCCTTGAATACTCTGGGGTAAGTATCATCCAGCAATGCTGATCTGAAAATATTAGGTTATCTAAATAATTGTAAACTTTCTCTTTCCCTTCTTGAGAGTGAGCACCTCCTTCTCTGTCTTTGATGCTACCTACACTAATCATCATTCTACAAGATCTTTTTTTTATGAAGACTGAAGCAAAAAAGCCTTAAAAACTTCAGCCTTTTCTGCATTCTTCATTCTTAGTTTCCTCTTTCCATTTAGTAGGGACCTATGCTTGCCTTGTCTTCCTCTTTCTTCTAGCATATTTATACAATGTTTTTGTTGCCTTAATGTTCTTTGCTAGCTAAACCTCAGTTATATACCTTGACACCCTTTAATTTTATCTCTACAACACTGAAAGATACTCTTATTCTCCTCCTTGGTAGTATGGCCAAGGTTCCAATTTTTGTAAGGTTCATTTTGAAGTTTCAAGTAATTGAAGAACGCATGGATTTGCCAAGCAGGGTTACTGCTATGCTTCCTTCACATTGAGATAACTGCTATGCTTTTTAGCCTTCCTTCACATTGGGATAGCATACTTTGTGCCCGTAATATTGTATCTTTAAGGAGCAACCACTTTTCCTGCAGTCCTTTTATCCTTAGGGTTGTGTCCAATTGTATCCTACCCACCAGTTATCTGAGTCTGTTAAAATCTGCTTTTCTGAAGTTGAGTATTTGGTAAGCTGTTGTTTTAAAGCCATATCCCTACAAACTCAAGACTTATCTCTAGAATTTTTTATTGGTTATACAGTGGCATCATCTACAAAGTACTACATGATATGTGAATTGGAAATAATGGGTGTGTCTACACAAGACACTTTACTATGCAGTAGACCAATCTACTATTCGTAAAGCATCACTGTGTAACCATGCACATCAGCTACTGTGCATGAAAATAGTCTGTGTGGTTTTCTATCATGTATAAATATAGGTAGTGGATTACTGTGTATTAGCTAATGCTCAGTGGTTACATAGCTGACTAGGAGCAAATTGCTCCTGGTCTGCCCCAGGAGAACTGTCCCCTCCCCCAGGCAGCTGCCTGCTTCCCAGCTTCCACTCCAATTGGCCAATTGCAGCTGGGACAATGTCCCTTGCCCCTGCAGCATGCAGCTGCAGGCCCTGGCTCTAAGACTGGGACATTGTCACCTGCCCCAGGAAGCTGCCTGCTGATGGGACCAGCTCCAAGATTGGAGCCAAGATCCGAGATTGGATCTGTGGCTGGGATACTGTCCCTTACCTCTGGCAGCTCTGTCTGCTGCTGGGGCTGGCTCCAAGATTGGAGCCAGGATTTGAGATCAGAGCTGGCCCTGACAGTAGGCAGCTTCCTAGGGCAGGGGACAGTGCCCTGAGGTCAGAGCCAGGGAAGGGGACAATGTCCCAGCCACTACTCCAATCTTGGACCAGGGGTTGGGCAGCAGAAAAGCTCCCAGGGCAGAGGTGCAGCAGGGGGGGAGGCAGCTGCCCCAGAGGTAGGACAGCTCTCCCCCACCCCCCAGCTCAAGCCTGACCCTGATGTTCCCTGCCAGCCCAGGCCTGGCCTAGAGCTCCCCCTGGCTGCCATATGGGAGCAGAGCAGGGCAGGAGTAGCCCTTCGCTGAACTGCTCACATAGGGAGCACATGTAGACGTGCTCCCAGGGGAAGCCCAAGGAAAGCTTACTGGACAGTCTTTTACTGTGCAGTAAGCTTTCTGCACATTAATTGCATGTGTAGATGTGCCTAATTAATCATAACATGTTGAGAATAATCAATATTGTCTATTAGAGGTTATTCCTCAATAGCGCTCTATTATGTTTTCAGCAACAATATCCTGTATCCTGTTACACAATAATCAGATACAGAACAGTAAAGTTACATATACCTGATAAAGTGAGCTCTTGCTCATGAAAGCTCATTCATCTCTGATTCAGTTAGTTTATAATGTACATCTCTAACCTGCCTTCTGCCAGACTTCAGTCTAGTATGGCTAACTACCTTTCACAGTACATATACTTGGCAGTCACCAATTAAACAGGATAAAAGGAATTTATTTTCAAATGGGAATGAATTGTAACTCTTGATAATGTTTTGCATGAATAGCTTATTTCTAGTATTTTGTCACTAAAATGGTTTTATACATGAACTCCTATAGAATGTTTCTCAATGCTAGCTGTGTCTACACGAGACACTGACTGCGCAGTCATTTATTACTTGTATAAACAAATACTAAATGACTGCACAGTAAGTGGAGTTACTGCACAGTAGCACTGCCAAATGGCTTTTTTGTGATGTTACTGTACAGTAGCCTTGCGTCAAACTTTCTGCCATGCGACACTATTGTGCAGTAGTCATGGGCTACTATGCAGTCAGCATCTCATGTAGACACAGCCACTGTTTTGTAAAAGAATCATACTGTTTATTTGTTCAGTACATGTACTATGTGCAGGTCAAAGGTATTAATCTTGCTCCTCAGCAGAAGCTTTCTTATACATGCTTACATGTCACCTATTTCCCTGCCCCTGACAAACACAAAAAAAGAGCAGATGCTTTCAGTGCAGGTTATTTTTGGCTGAGAGATCTCTGTCTGAGCAATGCTGCCACTCCTGTTTTGTGAAATCACGTATTTTCCTCTATGAGGAATGTTTAAGAAAAAACTGAATAGAAAATGTGCAAGTTGATTAAATCTGTGGCCTGTCAACTCAAGCAGCATGTCTTTAAAATATTTATTAATTTCATATGTATTCATGTTCAAAACATACTTTGATGAAAGTGAGGAAAAAATAGTAAGCTCAGTATTCTGTTTCAGATTTCTCACCTTCTGAGTCGAGTAGAGCAGTCCATAATGCAGCAAGATGCAAAGCTTAAGTTTGCATACAAAGAAAGCAACCAACAGCTCCACCTTCTGGACACAAAGTGAGTATTGGTCTCATGAGAAAATCATGTTACTTAAAAAAATCCAGGGATTAGGTCTTCGAATGCTTAAGGTGTTCTTACATATTAACTTAAAGATGAGTTAAGGGCCCTTAAAACAGGAGTGTTCACACTTATGGCAGGGAAACACATGCTAAGAGCCCTTGGAGTGGCTTAGAGATTATCCTTCTCCATCAAGGATTACCAGTCACTGGTTTTGGGCAGCTCATGTTGCAGTCATATGCAGGTAAGAATGAGGATCCAGGGCAGAGTAGTTAGCCTCACCTCAGTCCCTGGAAAAATCATGGAGCACGTCCTCAAGGAATCAATTTCTAAGCACTTGGAGGAGAAGAAAGTGATCAGGAACAGTCAGCTTTAATTCACCAAGGGCAAGTCATGCCTGACCAACCTGATTGCCTTCTATGATGAGGTGACTGGCTCTGATGACTGGATCCATGTGTATAGGTGTCCAATTAATCTGCAGAAGACAAGACTGAGGGAGGATTTGGTAGCAGTCTTTAACTATCTGTAGGCTGGTTCCAAGGAGGATGGAGCTAGACTCTCCTCAGTGCTGGCAGACGACAGAACAAGGAGCAATGGTCTCAAGTTGCAGCAAGGGAAGTTTAGTTAGGGTTACCATATTTCCAATTTCAAAAAAGAGGACACCTGTTGGGGGGACACCTCACTCCCAATCCACAGCACCCTGGCCCTGCCAGTGCCCCTCACTCCCAACCTGCAGCCCCCCGTCCCTGCTGCTGCCCCTCACTCCTGACTTGCAGACCCCTGGCCCCTCACTCCTGACCCACAGTCCCTCACCCCCATGGGCTATACTGGTGACCCTCAGTCCCAACCTGCATCCCCTCATCCCTGCTGCTGACCCTCACTCCTGACCCTCAACCCCTGTTCTTGCTGGTGCCCCTCACTCCCAACCCACAGCCGCCTGGCACTACCAGTGCCCTTCACTACCAACTCATAGCCCCCAGCCCCCTTAGTGGCCCTCAGTCTCAACCCACATCCCCCTGCTCCCCCCAACCCTACCAGGGGGGGCCTCCAGCTGCCCCCACCCCAAATGGGCTGGAGTATGACAGCTCCGATTCATGCAGGTGGTGGCAGAGCGAGTCCGGCTCTGGCATGGGTGGGAGGGAAGAGGAGGGGAGGCCTGTGGCACTGCCCCCCCATCCCCTTGCCTTAGGCTGGGGTTCCAGCACTGAATCAAGTAGCTTGGTCATGCTCCCCCTTCCCCCCCGGGCATCATCTCCTGGTCGTCCTGCCCCTACAAGCATGGACACCAGCCTCTGTGCTGCTGGCTCAGCCACTTCACTCCCTGCTGCCCTCTAAGAGCCCCCCCATCCTCTTGCCCCACTGGGGGGGAAGCTTCCTTCCCTCCACGCCCCCTGTGCTGCTGCAGCCTCAGTGCCTGAACAGCTTCTCCAAGTGCCACCAGGCACTTGCCCTGCCTCACACACCCATCCCACCCACACCCAGACAATCTCCAAACCTTGGCCCTCTAGCCCCCACCTACCATAGACTTACATGCATCCAGCTACTCAGGCTGCTCCCACCACCCTGCCTGATTGCATGCAGGCCACATGCGT